ATCACCCAAATTTTATATGAATTGTTTTTCAAATAGTTTTTCTGAACAGGCATTTTGAAGTAAGGAATTGGCGAGCGATTGCAAAAGATTTCGACTGATGTACCTACGTAGATTAGTGCTGGTTTTCTGTTTCGTATTAGTGAGAATGCGATTTTGTTTATTTTCCTGTTGGGATATCTAGCTTCTCATAGAGTTTTTATGCATTTGGTTATAAATGCGAAAATGTGTTTCAAGATTTGTTTTTTTGGATTTGGGAAAACTGTGAACAGCATTTGTGTTCAATTGATCACGCGAAAGTTCTTCAACATAAAGCCTACACAACATCTCAAGTGAGTAAATACAACCGCAACTTCCCGGTGAAACATTTTCTAATTTTCTTTTTTTTCTGTTACGTTCAGGGCTTTTCATATATACCACAAAAAAAAGGTGTGATTATCAATACAAATAAGTTGGGCTGTTAAGACGGTTCTGGAGATCTGTGTATCCTGGGACTTATCCTGGAATTGGTGGCATAAAGATAAGTTTTGTGTTTGTATCGTTTCCAACATCAACAGTCAGGTCCAGTATATTTTGATTCTCTTATTGCTTTCACAAGTAATCGTTCAAGCGAAATCCAATTGGGCATTACCCTGTTTGAAGAAAAAAAACAATGAGTGATATTTATTTATAGTGTTTTTTTAATTTATAATTGAGTTTACTAAAGTCAAGGAGTTCCATTATGTAGTTTGTTGAGAATTACGATATATTTGGAAAAGTATGTTAGCCGAAATATAGATCTATACGGAGGTATAAAAATTAAGTGTTACAAAGTTTAATATCAAAAATATCGTCATAAGTGTCACAAACAATAAATTACGTGAACATTGACGTTACTAATTCCTTTTTACTGTGTCGAAATAAATTGTCTCTGAACTATTTTATTTTGTTCATTTCATAAACTTTGTGGTAACCAAAACTGGAAGTTTGATGAAGGCACACCGCTTATTTGATTTTGGTTCGTATGGTATTCTCGCTCATACAAATTCACTGTTCCGTGATTTATTTTGTGAGTTAGGTATTTTACATGATCTACTGATTGGTTTAAATCATGTGGTGCTCTTTTTTTTTCTTTCACAAATTATGACTCACGCCCACTCTCTGAGTTAGTCGGCAACCAATCAGTGTTTGAGTTCCTAGAAACCGTATAAAATAGGTAGTCGAAGCCGCGTGGTAACAAAATATGACAGAGCAATTGAAATACTACCATCAAAACAAAATAAAATTGAAACTCTCATATCAGACCAGATAACACTTTCACAAAGAATAATTGATAATTTAAAAAATAATATACGAACTCTCATGCATAATCAAGGACTCTTGAAATCTTGAAATTCATCAATTCCTAATGATATAATCAACGATTTTATAAATAACAACTGCATTCTAAGCTATTTACAATATTTTATAAAAAAATTGAAAGTGCTATAACCTTTTCGAAATTAAACATTTCACATAATTCCATTGCTGAACCAAATGAGATCAAAAGCTGTAATGAAATTGTAAATGAAGGATTCTTATGCCAATTAAATACTCAAGAAGTAATCACAGAAGATGTTTCTTGTGAAATCTAGATGCTGAAATATTTCAAAAAACTAGCAAACTGTAATCTAGTGCCTGTAACAATTTATAGAATGAAGATACAGAAGACTCAAGAGAAGAAATATACTTTTATCACACCAAGCCAAAAAGTCGCAAAATTTGCAAAAATAGCAAAGGATGAATTCCTCTCCAAGGAGCTTTCATTTCAGAATTTGTTTCCCAATGTGAAGTTTAAATAGACAATACCGTCATGAGAAGTTTTCAGAATCCAACAATTGCATTCAAACCATTTTAATTTTCAAAATCAAATTTTGAAAATAAGTATTCATATTTGAATCCTCAATTTCAAAACTTAGTCCGATTATGAAAGCCATCAACCTAGACGAAATGAAACATATTCATGAAACGTTGGAAATCAAAAAGGAAGAAACAAAGAAGATTCAAAATGTATCAATTACACGGAACTCAATTGATATTTGGAAAATAATCTTATATGTCATATTTTTTATAGCCATCCTGTATGTAGCCTGCCGATTNTGAGGTAGTATACAAAAAAGATAAATTGAACACAAACGCAGACCCATTATCCCGAATTCAAATAAACGAAGTAAGAAATGAATCTATAATTATTAACACAGCTGATATTGTTGAAGAAACCATGTCACTATTGAGAAATTTATCAGAACACAACATACAAAATATAAGTAAACCTCAAACTCAACAAACCATAAAATTTTATCAGATATCGAAATTGAACCACCAATATATATTGAAGGTACAACACCTCCAATTGAAGAATATTTTGACAATAATCAATACAGTAATGCAAACGAAACAACAAATGAAGGAATAAAAACCCAAGATGAAATGAAAAATGATGAAGTTACCTGAATTTTTGTCTTTCCACATGTCTACACTATATTGAAACATGAAAATGACTATAGACCAATCGATTTGCTATCAGTGATATCAAAAATTATGGAGTAAGTCGAAAAACACCTTATCCTCAAATATTTGGAAGGCTTCAACATCTTGAGCGATCATCAATATAGCTTACAGAAACAAAGATCAACAGGCGACATGGAGGGAAACATAGAGAATCAATAGTTGTTGGATATTTCTGAGTCCTTTGACCGTGTGTGGCATGGCTTGTTGGATCATTTTTGTGTATGGATCTTCAGCTTTCTGAAAGAACGTTCCCTGCAAGTGGCCGTTGATGGATATCTCCTTCACCATCAAAGGTGGTGTTCCCCAGGGATCCATAATGATTCTTTATGAAGCTCAGATTAGACCTTCTATTGTTCTCATATATGGAGCTCTGCCCCCAAACATACCCTGAAGTTGCTTGATTCCATACAGAAAAGAGCCATCCGCCTTATTGAAGACGCGAACATCACGTGAAACCTTGATAGTCTGGAACGTCGAAGAAAGGTTGGAGATTTGTCTCTTTCCAATAGATACTTTCATGGGAAGTGTTCAAGTGACTTGGCGCATTTGATTCCAGCAAGAGCGGTACATATCAGAAATACGCGACGGACTGTGGCTGCTCATCGTTTTAAGGTTCAACTAAGTACACCTCGAACTCCACTATTCGAAAACTCTTTCAACTGGAGAGCTGCGTTTATGTGGAATGAACTTCCTGAGAACGTTTTTCCGAAATGGATTTAATCTCCAGCGATTCAAATCCAATGTGAAACGCTACTTTCGCATAGGCACCGCTCTGAGAGCGCCTTGAGGATTTTCCTGTAGTGCTAGTGTGTAAAAAAATGAAAATTATGAAAACCATAAAATTTTGTCGAATATGAAGGCTGATTGATTATGTATCAACTGATTCAAATTTATAGACAACCAACTTCTCTTTGAAATCATTGCAGAATGGGTCATATATCTAACGGGAGCTTTATCGGCCATTGTTGATTTAAAATTTCCCCTTCGCTTAAACAGCTTATGTAATATAATGTGTTGAAACAGTTGTCACTGTTAGGCAACTTGTAATACATATGAGATACTACAAGTTGGCAACACGGGACAATCGTGGTTAAAGCAGTTTATGTTGACATGGCACATACAAACGTGCTCATGCTCACGATATCTAATATATGTTTATACAATAAACTATTAACGTTGCACGCTGGTTGTGTTATTTATAATCCTTGGGCCAGATTATACAGCTTATCACCCAAATTTTATATGAATTGTTTTTCAAATAGTTTTTCTGAACAGGCATTTTGAAGTAAGGAATTGGCGAGCGATTGCAAAAGATTTCGACTGATGTACCTACGTAGATTAGTGCTGGTTTTCTGTTTCGTATTAGTGAGAATGCGATTTTGTTTATTTTCCTGTTGGGATATCTAGCTTCTCATAGAGTTTTTATGCATTTGGTTATAAATGCGAAAATGTGTTTCAAGATTTGTTTTTTTGGATTTGGGAAAACTGTGAACAGCATTTGTGTTCAATTGATCACGCGAAAGTTCTTCAACATAAAGCCTACACAACATCTCAAGTGAGTAAATATAACTGCAACTTCCCGGTGTAACATTTTCTAATTTTCTTTTTTTTCTGTTACGTTCAGGGCTTTTCATATATACCACAAAAAAAAGGTGTGATTATCAATACAAATAAGTTGGGCTGTTAAGACGGTTCTGGAGATCTGTGTATCCTGGGACTTATCCTGGAATTGGTGGCATAAAGATAAGTTTTGTGTTTGTATCGTTTCCAACATCAACAGTCAGGTCCAGTATATTTTGATTCTCTTATTGCTTTCACAAGTAATCGTTCAAGCGAAATCCAATTGGGCATTACCCTGTTTGAAGAAAAAAACAACGACTGATATTTATTTATAGTGTTTTTTTAATTTATAATTGAGTTCCATTATGTAGTTTGTTGAGAATTACGATATATTTGGAAAAGTATGTTAGCCGAAATATAGATCTATACGGAGGTATAAAAACTAAGTGTTACAAAGTTTGATATCAACAATATCGCCATAAGTGTCACAAACAATAACTTACGTGAAAATTGACGTTACTAATTCCTTTTCACTGTGTCGAAATGAATTGTCTCTGAACCATTTTATTTTGTTCATTTCATAAATTTTGTGGTAACCAAAACTGGAAGTTTGATAAAGGCACACCGCCTATTTGAATCTGGTTCGTATGGTATTCTCGCTCATACAAATTCACTGTTTCGTGATTTATTTTATCAGTTAGGTATTTTACATGAACTACTGATTGGTTTGAATTACGAGGCGCTCATTTTTTTTTCTTTTACAAATTATGACTCACGCCCACTCTCTGAGTTAGTCGGCAACCTATCAGTGGAAACCGTATAAAATAGATAGTCGAAGCCGCGTGGTATTATATTTGGCGCCCAACATATATTCAAGAAACATTAGAAATCAAGGAAGGAGAAACACAGAAGATCCAAGATGTACCAGTCAATCAGAAATAAATTGATACTTGAACAATAATTTCATGTCATATTTTTCATAGCCATCCTGTATGTAGCCTGCCGATTCTTTACAATTAGATGTCTAGCTATTCCGGATGCCCCAACAGAAGGAGAACCCAAGAAAACTTCCCAAAATTTCGAAATTAACCCCGGAAATTCACTCTGAGGGTGGAGGAGTTATGGGACACGTGTAACCTGAATTCCCTCTAATACGCCCTCCATACGGCTCCCTGGACGGATGCTGTATCAGTCCGATGATTGATAAGAAAACTAATAAAAATGACGCCTCTCGTCACTATTCACTTGTTCTTTGTATCATACCGAATGAAGTTATTTGTCAATTTCCAATTTCAAAGTTTTTCATCCTTTTCAAACATTGTTTTCGCAAAGCCACAACGAAAACTGGTTTAGAAACCACATTAGAATATGATGGACATCAATTTTTTGCGTTTATATTACAAACGCTGGCTGAACTCTACGAAAGTGATCAAAATAATGTACCTACTACAGTATTGCACACCTTAAAAAGGTCTTCAAAAAAGTCCTCGATGGTATATGTCTATCTCTTAGAAAAAACCCACAATAAGCATTTTTTATTCTCAAGAAATAATGACTTATCCACGAATCGATTTTGAGCAATACAGCATTAATCTTTATCCAAATAAGTACCATGAATACATTGTGCATTTGATATAGATCGATATGGCCCTTTGCAGCATGTAATTCAAATGAATATTATCGAAGATATCTCCGATTTGAAATGCAGGGACATTGCGGTTGCAGCGGTACCGGCTGGTGGGCCCACGGCATGTGGCTATGAATAGCGCGTCGAAGGTCGCACTCCGCCATGTAGCATGGGTTTGTATGTATATTCAGTATCAGCGTTA